GCATCTTGCAGCGTCCGGCTGATAAAATAGATGGGTTGTTGACCTTCCTGGTTTTCTTGTATTATGACGGCACTGACTGCACTACTCGAAACTAACAAGTAAACAACCATGGCTAGGCCACTGACTGGTTTAGACAAAATTGGAGGCGTACAAAGCCATTTTTTAAACTGCTGAAAAGATTCTTCACACTCCTGGGTCCACTTGAATCGTTCCGTTTTCTTGAGCAGAAGTAGAATCGGCTTAGCTATCTCGGCTAAGGGAGAAATCGGGACAGCGAGGTAAGCCGTCCGGCTAACTTCTGAACCTCCTTTAATGTGGCTGGGCTTTTCATGTCCAGGATGGCCTGGCATTTGTCTGGGTTTGCCTCAATGCCCCGGTTGGACAACATAAACCCCAAAAACTTGCCTCCCGAGACTCCTAATACGCATTTCTTGGGGTTAAGTTTCATTTGGTGTCGCCGAAGCGCCTGGAATACCTCGGTCAAGTCGCGTGCATGCGCCGACACATCACCCGACTTTACTACCATATCATCCACATACACCTCCATGCTCTGGCCAATCTGATCGTGAAAGATTTTGTTCATCAAACGCTGATAGGTAGCACCGGCATTCTTTAAGCCGAACGACATCACTCGGTAACAGTAGTTGGCCGTTTCGGTGATGAAGGCAGTTTTTTCTTCATCTTGGGGGTGCATCCGGATCTGATTGTATCCAGAGTATGCATCCAGGAAAGACAAAAATTTGTGGCCGGATGCCCCATCGACGAGCCGATCGATGTTTGGTAGCGGGTAGGCGTCCTTGGGACAGGCTTTATTCAAGTTAGTGTAATCGGTGCACATGCGCCACTTTCCATTCGGTTTTCTGACCATGACGACGTTGGCCAACCAGGTCGTGTAGTGCACTTCTCGGATAAACCGAGCGTCTAACAACTTGCTCACTTCTACTTCAATTGCAGCTTTTCTTTCTTCCCCGGTCTTTCGGCGCTGCTGAGCAATCGGCTTAGCCTCCTTGCTGATGGAGAGTTTGTGACAAAGGAAATTGGGATCGATGCCGGGCATGTCAGACGGGTGCCAAGCAAACAAGTCATTGTTTTCGAGGACTACTTGTTTAATAGCCAACTGTTCTTCTTCAGACAAATTAGCTCCTAAGTGAGTGACTTGGAACTCGGACACTCCCACCTGGAATGGTTGTTTATCTTCAATGGGCTCTACCCTTTCATCTTGATCGATCCGAGGATCGAGGTCCATGGCCGATTGCTGTGATACCGAGTGCACCCTTCTCGGTTCATTCGGTGCTTCATTCTTCATTTTCGGTAATCGCAAGATGGTAAAATAACATTCTCGCGCAGTTTTTTGGTCAGCATGGACAGTGACTATTCGCCCTGATTCGGCCGGAAACTTCATGGCTAAATGAGGGGTGGAGACGATTGCGCCGAGCCGATTCAGGGATGTTTCATTTATGAAATTGAGTTCAGATTTCTCTCTTCTAAAAGTCCCTAAACCTCTTTGTTAGCATGCAATTCTCTTATCCCTTCATAGAAGAGTGTGGTGAGAATTGAAGGAGCTTATCTCTTCATCAAGGAGTGGCGCCTATTGGGAGAGTTTCTCCACCAAACCGTGGTGGTTCTAAGGTCTCCTCCTCCATTGGAGACCTTAACAAGGCTTAGGAAGAATCAAGGAGTCAAGGATCTAGGGAGGAGCTTGAAGAGGAATCAACATCAGTCCGGTTTCTCAACAAGTTTTCCATCACATTATTTTTTTGTAACGTAGTCTAATAGAGAGCTTCAATTTTATAAGAGAAAAAATTAGTATCTCAACAATAGATGTCACAGGTGATGTTATAAAAAAAGTGATACTAAGCATCGAAAGACCTAATTAAAAGAAATCTATTAAAATAAATTCAACATTAATAAAACAAACTTGACTACCTCTGTCAAGTAAACATAAAAGAAATAATGTTACAAAAAAATTAACAATAAAGATTAAAATAAAAAACTAAAAGTACATAAATTAAAAAGATGCATCTTAAATTATAGGGACTAAACGTGATTTAAAAAGATAAATATAAAAACTAAAAAATGTGATACTATAATGAGTAAAAGGATATTTTAATTTTTTTATTAAATTTTGTACGATTTCTTTGTGATGTCTACTTTTCTATACCTTATTAGATGATTCATTATTGTAGTTGTGTTTCATGTCCTGATGTTCTCGATATTTGTCTTACCTAGACATGCTCCTAAGCATTATTTTGTAATATTATGCATAGTTTGGCATTTCATAGAATGTTATCTCTTGTTTTCATATCGTAATTGCTTTTAATTAACTTAATAAACAATTAGAGTAAAATTGAAAGTAAGGAGTGTCATTGATTGTTCATAGTATCTTATTCTTATATCTGTCTTATTTGTCACGGTTGTTAATTATTATAAGCTTTCTATATCTTAAAATTATTTTGAAAATTAATCTTCTTTTTCATGAGATTAATCTTAACCTTAGCCAAATAACCCTTCTGCTAACTTATTTTCATATTGCCAAAGTTTGATGAAGAGTGGCAATTTAACCATCAATAATGCTCATCTTGGAGAGTATTACATATTACATTTATGTTTACTTCACCACGAGCACCCACTTACAACTATTGTTGACAATTGTATCATCAAGATTTCATTATCCATAGATTTTAGTATATAATGCTTTTAACAATAACATGTACAATAAATTAAGTAGGGCATCTTTTTTGTGGTTAATGACAAAGTTTAGAGGATTCTTTATTTTGTTTGTATTTTACATTATATATGTATATATATATATATATATATGTGTGTGTGTGTGTGTATGTGCGCGAGTGTATATTTTTCATGTCTATCTCTTAACTTTTTTATATGATTATTTTTAGTGATAATTGCTCTATTTTTTATTTGGTAACTTTTTTTAATTTTTTTTAATATAAATTTTATAGTTTCACTTACTTCTTATGATTTAAATTAGTTATTTTAGTTCTTATATTCATCTTTATTAGTCTTATTTAGCCTCTATAGTTTAAAATATACATTTTTAGTGTATACTTGCTTTTTATTTATTGTTTTAGTATTTTTTTTTGTAACATCATCTAATAGAGAGCTTCAATTTTATAAGAGTAAAAAAATTAGTATCTCAACAATAAATGTCATAGATGATGATAAAAAAAAATAATACTAAGCATCAAAAGACCTAATTAAAAATAAATCTAGTAAAACAAATTCAATATTAATAAAACAAATTTGACTACCTCTGTCATGTAAACATAAAAGAAATTAAAAAGATCTATCTTAAATTATAGAGACTAAAATTGATTTAAAAAAATAAATATAAAAACTAAAAAAATATATTTTGAATTATAGAAACTAAAAAGTAAAGTAAAACTATAACCAATAAAAAGATATTTTAAATTTTTTTATTAAACTTTATACGGTTATTTTGTGATGTCTACTTTTCTATACCTTATTAGATGATTCATTATTATAATTGTGTTGCATGTCTTAATGTTCTCGACATTTGACTTACTTAGACATGCTTCCTAAGCATTATTTTGTTATATTATGCTTAGTTTGACATTTAATAGAATTTATCTCTTGTTTTTATAATGTAATTGTTTAATTAACTTAATAAAAAATTTGAACAAAATTAAAAGTAACGAGTATCATTGTTGATAGTATCTTACTCTTATATGTCTCTTATTCGTTACGGTTGTTCAAAACGGCTAATGAAAACAGAATGCATCTTTTCCGCTCGCATTCAATCATTCTTTTCTCTCGGATTTTCTAGAGATTTCACATGGTATCAGAGCCTTTTATGGTTCATTACATCTTGATCTCTTAATCGTTCACTTTCGACCTTAGCCTTCTTCACTGTTTCCTCCATGGCGGCTCCTCCTCCTAAGGTTCTTGATACGTCAAATCGTTACTTCCTTACCAGAGGTGATAGCTTTGGAATTCCTCTCGTTCTGATCAAATTGGACGGTTCCAATTATCATTCTTGGTCTTGTGATGTTTCCACAACCCTTGGCTCGAAGAACAAGCTTCACTTCATTAATGACACTCTTCCTCGTCCCCCTCCTGGTTTTGCCATGTTTGGCCATTGGGATCGCTGTAATTCCATTGTCATGTCATGGCTTGTTCACTCTCTTGATGCTAGTATTGCTCCGAGTGCTCATTGGATGGACACCGCAATTGAGATCTGGAATACTTTGCGAAAACGTTACTACCAGGGAGACTTCTTTCGCATTTCTGATATCCAAGAAGAGATCAACGCTCTTCGTCAAGGTTCGCTCAATATCACCGCTTATTTCACTCAATTGCAAACTCTTTGGCAAGAATTGGACCAATTTCGTCCTCTACCTTCATGTTCTTGCGAGATCAAGTTTCTTGCAATTATGTTCCTACTATATGTTCTTATCGCGATGGTGATTGTGTCCTTCCTTTTCTTAAAGGACTCAATGAACAATGAACAATACTCTGTTGTTCGTTCTCAAATCATGATGATGCAGTCAATACTAGATCTTGATCATGTTTTCTCACTTCTGATCTAACAAGAGCCTCAATTTGGTGTACCTGTTGATGATCCTCATACTTTGGCTTATTTTCCTTCCTCGACACGAGGACGTGGTGGTTTTGGTGTTCGATCTCAGTCCTCCTCCATTTCTGGTAGGGGTCGCGGTCGTGGCCGAAGTTCTAAAGTGTGTACTCATTATGATCACCCTGGTCACACTATTGAAACTTGCTATAAGAAACATGGATATCCACCTCATATGCAGAATTCTCATTCTGCTCATAATGTTCAATCACTCAAAAATATTGATGAAGGTGATGATACTGCTACTGTCCTTTCTCAGCAAGGAGTGCCTTCTGCTCCAACTATGACTCTGACTCCTGAGCAACATCAAGCCTTAATGGCTCTTTTACAACAATCAAATTTGAATGGTACCACGGTTAATCACATTTCTACTTCTCTTGTGAACAAATCCTCAGGTATTGTTTGCACCTTGTACATTTTATTTGCCAAAGATACTTGGATCATTGACACAAGAGCCTCTATTTATTTTTGTAACAATTTGTCCTTATTTCAAAGTCATAAACACATTCCTCCTATCCATGTTAAACTACTTACTGGTGGTGAGATTCAAACCAATATTTCTGGCACAGTGTTTTTCTCTAAATCTCTATTTCTCACCAATGTGCTTTATATTCCTAATTTCACTTTGAATCTTATTTTAGTTTCTCAACTCATTCGTTCCTTACCTTGTAAATTTTCTTTTTTCCCTTCATGATTGTCAGATTCTGGATTCAAGTTCCATGAGGATGATTGGTGTAGTTGAAGTTCAACACGGTCTTTACACAATGAAGTCTTGTCCCAAAACCATTTTACACGGTGTAAACAATTTTTTTTCTTACAAGAATAATCTTTGGCATTTTAGATTTGGCCATCTCTCATGATAAACTTTGTACTTTGAAACAGTTGTACCCTTTTATTGAATGTGATAAAACTAATTTGCCTTGTGATTTTTGTCATTTCTCTAAACAGAAGCATTTATCCTTTCCTGATAGTGATTCTGTTTATGAATTGTTTGATCTTGTACATTTTGACATTTGGGGTCCAATTGCTACACCATCTTTGCATGATCACAAATATTTTCTTACCATAGTAGAACACACTAGTCGTTTTACCTGGATCTATCCTATGAAATTAAAATCAGAAACTGGTTTCTTAGTCCAATCTTTTGTTACTCTTTTTCAAACACAGTTTTGTAAACTAATTAAATTTGTTCGAATTGATAACGGTCCTGAATTTAATCGTTCTAAGTTTTATGCTGAAAAAGGGATCATTCATCATAAAAGTTGTGTGAAAACACCACAACAAAATGGCTTAGTCTAACGCAAACATCAACATATTTTAAATATCACTAGGTCATTACTGTTTCATTCTGGTTTGCCACACTGTTTTTGGAGTTATGCTGCTGCCTTAGCTGTCCATATAATTAACAGAACACCTTCTTCATTGCTTGACAAAAAAATCACCTTATTATGTGCTACACAACAAAATTCCTGATATTTCACATTTAAGGGTATTTGGATGTCTTGCTTTTGCATCTACTATCACTTTTAACAGAAAGAAACTGGACTCCAGAGCACGAAAATGCATTTTTCTTGGCTATCAAAGAGGTGTTAAAGGCTTTGTTCTATATGATTTAAAGAATAGGGAAATTTTTATATCAAGACATGTACAATTTTATGAAACAATTTTTCCTCAAAAACAATCTCAAGGCTCTTCACAACTACCTTCAACTTTCACTCAATCCCATCCAAACCTTCCTACTCAGATTGAAGATATTTTTCCTTTACCTTCCATTCCCCCAGATGATTCACTTACACCCTTACTGAATCTTTTCCATCTCAAATTAACCTTCCAGCAGAACCTGAACCTATTTTTGATATGCCTTTACCTACTGTCCCTGCTTCTTCTACACCTCCTGTTCAGCAAAGAAAATCTCAGAGCCTTAAAGCCTCCAAATTATTTGAAAGACTATCATTGTGCATTGACTGGTGCTTCATTACACCATCATCTTATATGGTCAGGTACCCTATTTCAAATTATCTCTTATGATCTTCTCTCTCCTTCTTATAAACATTTATGTTTATCTGTTTCTCGTGTTTCTGAACCCTCAACCTACCAAGAGGCCATTAAATTTGATTGTTGGAAAGAAGCAATTAAGAACGAATTACTTGCTTTGGATATGAATCATACTTGGACGTTGACACACTTGCCTAAGGGAAAGAAGACCATAAGCTGCAAATGGATCTTTAAAATCAAACACAAGGCAGATGGGTTTATAGAAAGGTATAAGGCCCGTTTAGTTGCAAAGGGTTCACTCAAACTAAAGGAATTGACTTCCTTGATACATTTAGCCCTGTTGTTAAGATAACCACCATAAGAATGCTTCTATCCAACATTGGCACTTAGAACAACTTGATGTTAATACAACATTTTGGCATGGTGACTTAGATGAGGAGGTTTATATGAAACCACCAGCTGGATTGCCTCTTTCTGATCCTGCCTTGCTTTGCAAGTTAACCAAATCTTTATATGGCCTGCTGCTGGTTTTGTTCAATCAAAATCTGATTATTCCTTATTCACCAAGAGGTCTCTTACTAGTTTTACAATTATGTTCACTTATGTTGATGATTTGATACTTGTAGGGTCTGACATTTCTGAGATAAACCAGATCAAATCCTTGTTAAATAAAAAATTTGGTATTAAAGATCTTGGTCCTTTAAGGTTCTTCTTGGGATTTGAAATTGCTAGATCTTCTAAAGGTATTTCCCTTAATCAGAGGAAATATGCATTGGATCTCTTGCAAGATTCTGGATTATTGGCCTCCAAACCTTTTTCCACTCCAATGGAATATTCCCTCAAGCTTTCTAAAACCGATGGGATACCTCTTCCTGATGCTTCTGTCTATAGAAGACTCATTGGCAGGCTAGTTTATCTAACAAATTCTAGACCAGACATTAGTTTTGCTGTTAGCAAGCTTAGCCAATTTCTCAGCAATCCTACTTCCATTCACTTGCAAGCAGCTCTTCGCACTCTTCGATACATCAAAGGCAATCCTGCAAAAGGTCTTTTCTTTCCTACCACATCTTCATTTCACCTTACTGTTTTTTTCTGACTCAGATTAGGGAACTTGTCCTGATACACGAAGATTTGTCACGGGTTTCTGCTTCTTCCTTGGTTCTGCATTGATTTCTTGGAAATCCAAGAAGCAATCAACTGTAACAAGATCTTCTTCTGAAGCAAAATATAGGACCTTAGCTCATGCAAGCTGTGAAGCTCAGTGGTTGGTGTATCTTCTTCGAGATTTTGGCATTCCACTCACTTGTTCTGTTGTGCTTTTTTGTGACAGAAACTCTACACTTCATATAGTAGCAAACCCAGTTTTTCATGAGTGAACCAAACATATTGAACTTGATTGTTACTTGGTACGCGAGAAAATTCTGTCTAAGTTGCTGCATCTCATGCCCATTCCTTCTAAGGATGAAACTATAGATTTACTCACTAAGCCACTTGCTCCAGGACCATTTCAATATCTAGTTTCCAAGCTTGGAATGATTAACATCCATTCTAGCTTGCGGGGGGTGTTAACAGATGTGCTCCTTAACTTTACAGTTTAGCTTAGCCAATAGCTATATAATGCTTCTTGTAACTGTTCAAAACGACTAATGAAAACAGAATGCATTTTTTCCGCTCGCATTCAATCATTCTTTTCTCTCGGATTTTCTAGAGATTTCACAGTTATTATAAGCTTTTTATATCTTAAAATAATTTTGATAATTAATCTTTATTTTTGAGAATTAATCTTCCAAACATTGTAAATACATATTTTCTCGATAAACATTTTATTAGAGTTGTTAATTTAGACTAACTTGACCCATTCATGTTAGATGGATCTATGGATTTCCAAGTTGGTCAGGCCAACCCATTTAACATTGAGCTAAACTTTTTCTAGTCCAACCCAATCCATGAGCCCGAATATTTTAAAATGTAAAAATTAAAATTTATTAAAAATATTCCTTTTTTTGTAAGAAGTTCATAAAATACTTTTAATCGCCATAAAATAACAATATAATTCATAATAATAGAAATAAAATAAACCTAATCTCTGCCCCCCCAAAAAAACTATGATCTTACTGGGTTCTAAGTTCTTGATTCCCATTATGGCTGGGGTAAAACCCAGGAGGGAAACCTGACCTTACTGTCATTCTTAAGGAAGAATTTAAGGTAATGTTAAGTGCCAACACAACAAGACTATGGTTAAATGATGATACATGACGTCATCGAGGCTTTGATTATCTGAAAAAGGGTGTATAATTCGTTTCATAAATTTCTACAAATACATTTTTTGCATTGATGGAAACTGTCTAGGTATAGTGAGTACTATCCCTTTCAAGAATCAAGATGTATCTTGCTAAGTTAGCTCTACTGTGGAGCAGTCTTGCCAACTCAACATATTACAATACAGAAGTTGCAAATTTTATAGATATTATTGGTTAGTAGCTAATGCAATCTATGAGAAACAAACATGAGAAAGAAGAATCAATATAATGCATTACCAATTTGTTCTGTTTTCTATTTCCATACAAACAGGTCTTCATTTGTCAACTAGAATGAAAAGTCTATTCAAACTCAAAACACACGATATGAGCAAAGTTCAGTATTTCAGTGTCATTACAATGCGATGCGACCCACGCCTTACATGCTTGGTAGAGAAGTAGACTACTTGCATCATGTCATTTCTCCAGATTTGCCAGAAGTTCACTGAAAGACTCCAAATTGTCCACATGACAATTAGGACACATACATCTCCTTTGAAGCTCCTCACCAAGTGAACTGTATGTTGCTTCTAATTTAGAAGACTGCTTGTTTCCAGTTAAGTACATAACTCAGCTGCCCCCAATTAATCAATTAAAATTCTTTATCTACATTAATGGTGCTAAGATCATGTGAACTAAAGTAATTTTTGTACTAAAATTAGGGAGAGGAGGGATAGAGCAGTAGCATGCTTCTCTTTTGTATTAAAATTGACAAAGAATATATATCTTCTTTTTTTTTTTAATTATTATGCTTTATGAAATTTACAGAATGACAAAAATCTAGATAGTGATCAGCTGAAGTTTGCCTTCTATTGTTTCTATGCATACAACTCCGTATGAAACATGCCGAAATAGTAGCTTTTAACAATGGAGCATGCTTCCTAAAAAAAAACAACAATGGAACATGCTAATTTATATGATAACGAAATACACCCATTAAATTGACTGATTTCATGTACAATTATGCATCGTCAAAGTAGTGCTTTTATGGGTTGTATTGTAAAATAATTTTAGGTTGTGTACCCTATGAAGCAGAGACCATCAAAACAAATGAACTAGTTAAATATTTGTAAGGATATATAGTCAGATCCTGCAATTCTTTTGTTTCCATGACTATCATGCTCATTAAAGACACCTTTCTTTCATAATCAAATAATTGCTGCTGGACCTGCAGGTTCTCCTTGACTCGATAAAAAGTAAAATCTACGAAAATAAGGATAAGGAACCTTGACAGTCTAGCATTAGATTTTCAACTTACATTCTTATAATTCTTTTGTTCTGCTTGGTATTCCTCATCCACTTTAGCAGTTTGGCATATTACCTCCAAAAGTGTACTTTCAAGAGCCCTTAAAGCAACTTCAGCATCATTCTCTTTCAATATTACTTTTGGTGCATCTAAAACAATATCAAAAGGCATCTTCAGTTTCCAGACAAAAAGATTTAAGTAGATTAATATTGTAGCACAGAAATCAGTACCAGAAAAGACAATTTGCTTCTACTTGTCCAAACAAAGTTTTGTGTGAAGGGACAGAAACAAAGTTAAAACAAATCTCCTTCTCCTATAACACGAGTATCCTCTAGTTTTGTTTTGTGCTTTTCATGTTCCATATTTTTACATATAAAGCTAATAGACCAACACTCATTATTTATAACAGTGAAAAGAATTAAAAAGAAAAGAAAAAAAAAACCTCTAGAGGCTGCGCAATCAACGGCTTCTATGTCGTAAGTAATAATGCTCTCTTGAAAATTCCTGCATTTACCGAAGGATTAGTAACTACATGTGGCAATGTTGCAAAAGTTGTTTCCAAAAACGTAAGCTTTCATATATAATGCACAAGATTGTGATTAACGCGATGAACCTTATGCTGGCATTGAGATGAAGCATGTTGTGGAAGAACTGGTCACTGCAAGAACACACGGAAGAGTTGTAAGTGGTAAGTGTATTGAAGTTGGAAAATGAGTGAAAGAGCAGAGATGTGTTACCGCAAATGTGCTTCTTCAGACTTGAGTGATGAAAGCACAACATGCAAACAATTAGGTCCAATGAGAAAAACACTTTAAATAAAATCCCATAGGCCATAGGCATAGCATAGCAGAGAGCGTGTACCTTGATAGTTTCCAAATCAGATCCAACGGCAGAGATTTGTTCTTGAATTAGAGATACCCTGGCCTGCGTGTGTTGAAGAATTGAATTATATTAAGACTTAAGAGTGAGTTAGTGAGAGAAAGAGTAAGTGATTAAGTAACCTCTAGTGTTTGAGCCGAAGCTTCACTCAAAATCAATTGAAGTTGGAAGCCTTTAAGATCCTGTTCAACCACTTGTTTGGCTCGCTTGGCATTCTCAAGCTCCGCACTCGCCTGGCTCAGCTCCCGTGTAAGCTTCTCGATCTGCTTTCTCAGACTCACTACTCTTCGTTCTTCGCCATTCAATTGCAAACATCATAATAATATCATATTCATACATACCTCTTCCTTCCAATGCCAATAGGCAAAAGCAATGAAATAACAGAAATACCTCCTTCAGATTTCTCAGCCGCGAAATTGCGGATGAGGCTCAACAGCGAATCGCTTCCCCTTCCCCTTCCCGCCATATTCTACCGCATCTTCCACCCACTCACCTTTTATATTTACTATTCCATCTCATCCCACCCATTCTATTTCTATTCTATCATATGCCCCCAAACATTTTTTTTATATAAATTGTATGCCCTTTCTTTTACAGTAATATATTTATAAAATTTATTTTGTTATAATTTATATTTCAAACTTCTTTATTTCATTTCTAAATACAGTAAAATATAAATATATATATATATATATATATATATATATATATTATCCATTAATATCACATCAATTTGTTTTCAAAGGATAATTTTAATCTATTCACTTATTAATATTACCAGAGTGTATAGTAACACAATGCTCATAATCTCACGGATAAAATCTTTGGTTTACGTTAATGGTGTGTTTGGATGAGAAATTTATATAGAGTAATTCATTTATTTGAAGAATTTCAAATTTCTTGAGGTGAAATGCTTTGTTTGGATGAGAAATTTACAAAGAATTTGAAATTCAAGCATTTGTGAAATTCCTTAAAATAGTAGAATTTCAAATTCTCCCAAAAATGGGAGAATTTAAAATTCCTCATATTTGTTTTTCTTATTTCACATATATATTTTATCTTATCTCTTCATTCTTTTAATTATTGGAGATTCAAAAATATTTTTAAAATTATTAAATATTATCTTATATTAATTTTTAAAATTATTAAATATTATCTAATATTAATTTTTAAAATTATTAAATATTTAAAAATGGATTAATATTTATTTTTATAAAATTTAATTTAAAAATCTCAACATATAAATATATTTTTAAAATCAATTTTATTATAATGGAATCAAATTATTATATTCAACCTAACAATTTAAAATTTAAGAAATTTGAATTAACTCATCCAAACAAAATATTTTAAGAATGATAGGAAATTGAAATCAAAGTAATTCAAATATCAAGAATTTAAAAATCCTTGAATTTGTAAAATTCTTCATCCAAACACACTATAAAGATATTTTTCAATTGAAATTACAAATTAATTACTTTTATACCCAATAAGTTTTGTTTTTTAATTAGGTCTTTTTTTTTTTAATACATATCAAGTATCAAATTGATTTATAACACAACATCTATAACAATCTATAAAGAGGATATTTTATTGTAGTTTCTACTTTTCATTAGACATTTTTATCCCTCACTTTATGACACAACGCTGTCATTTCTCTCTCTTTGAAAACAACTTATGAGTTCTCTATTTATAATCGGTAAATTCTCAAACTATTTTTATTGTTCAATGTATTTATCAAGTTAAATAGGATTTTTCATCTAATCATTATCGGCTTATTTAGTTTTATAACTTACGTTAATCGAATTTTGATGATTTGAGTAATGGGTAGGAGTGATTATTTCTTTTTTCATTTCTTCTCAATTTCTAATTTTTTGTATTGTTATTTATTTTATTTTTTTTGTGCCTATGATTTAAGGACTGTCAGAGGAATTCGGAGATCACCAATAGTAAGGTTTTGGTTGGTGGAATGAAGAAAAGCTCCTGGTTAATTTTCTTTATTATTGCTTGGATGCTTAAGCCAAGATTACATAATCATGCTCAAATGTCTAGGAATGATATTTTGTTGATGTATGTGATTAAAAAGAAGGAAAAGGTTGATTGAGTCTTTGTTGTTAATGACTACATTTGGAAGGCTATAAGTAAGGAGGATAGTCCTATTCCTTATGCCTTGTTATTGTCAAAAGTGATTGAAAATATACAGGGATAAATCTTTAGGGGGAGAAAAAGATAATTCTCCATGCCTCTAATAGGATTGAGAGGGCGTTTCTTCATCATATGGGAATGTTGAAACAGGAAGACAAGGGGATCTTCAAGGGTGTTATTCCACCCATACCTGAGCCAACCACAGATGATGATGGTGTGTACCATCTCATGATGAGGATATTCTGCCCCCAAGTTGAACTGGAACCAAAAGCTAAACCAAAACTTAAGGCTTTTTCACCATTTAAGCAATTAATGCTCAATAAGATAGATGTTGTCATGGAGATGAACAAGAAGCACGAGTCAGAATTCTTTGGGATCCTTGATAGGTTTGACACATTGGACTATGAGATAGCAAAGATCAAGGCCCAGCTAGGAATTGAAGAGGACTCAGAATGAAGTTTTAAGCTGTTGTTCTAGTTTTAGGATTCTAGTTTCTAGTTTTTAAATTTCTGAATTTTAATTTCAATTGGGTGTTAATATTTCTAATTCTGGCACATTTTCGTTTGGATTAAGTTTAATGTGTCTTTGAACAATTTAAATTCTGGAACAATTTGAATTTTATGCGTGTTGAATTTTATGGCTTGGTAGTTTTTAATTTTGGTATTGGCTAATTTGATATTAGCTAAATTGGTATTATGATTGAATGTTGGTGCAATTACTTTTGCTAAATGTTTTGTGATTTAGTTCTTGGTATATGTCGAGTTACGCTCATGAATATTATGTTTGAATCATTGCTTGAGATTAATAGCGTATGAGAAGCTGGATATATATGAGTAGTTGAACTAGGATAAATAATCTTTCACTTCTCTTTCATCTTTACTCTTTCACTTTGTGCAATGTTTAAGTTGAATAATTAACTTGTTTCACATATGTTCACATGTGATTAATATTTTTGTGTGTTTAGAGGTTTAATTGAGGTATAATCAGTGCATGTTGTTGTACATATATGATATTCTAAAAGAAAATGAGATCTGGAAATATTTTTAATTTGATTACTAAGGTTTTGGTTGGTGGAATGAAGAAAAGCTCCTGGTTAATTTTCTTTATTATTGCTTGGATGCTTAAGCCAAGATTACATAATCATGCTCAAATGTCTAGGAATGATATTTTGTTGATGTATGTGATTAAAAAGAAGGAAAAGGTTGATTGAGTCTTTGTTGTTAATGACTACATTTGGAAGGCTATAAGTAAGGAGGATAGTCCTATTCCTTATGCCTTGTTATTGTCAAAAGTGATTGAAAATATACAGGGATAAATCTTTAGGGGGAGAAAAAGATAATTCTCCATGCCTCTAATAGGATTGAGAGGGCGTTTCTTCATCATATGGGAATGTTGAAACAGGAAGACAAGGGGATCTTCAAGGGTGTTATTCCACCCATACCTGAGCCAACCACAGATGATGATGGTGTGTACCATCTCATGATGAGGATATTCTGCCCCCAAGTTGAACTGGAACCAAAAGCTAAACCAAAACTTAAGGCTTTTTCACCATTTAAGCAATTAATGCTCAATAAGATAGATGTTGTCATGGAGATGAACAAGAAGCACGAGTCAGAATTCTTTGGGATCCTTGATAGGTTTGACACATTGGACTATGAGATAGCAAAGATCAAGGCCCAGCTAGGAATTGAAGAGGACTCAGAATGAAGTTTTAAGCTGTTGTTCTAGTTTTAGGATTCTAGTTTCTAGTTTTTAAATTTCTGAATTTTAATTTCAATTGGGTGTTAATATTTCTAATTCTGGCACATTTTCGTTTGGATTAAGTTTAATGTGTCTTTGAGCAATTTAAATTCTGGAACAATTTGAATTTTATGCGTGTTGAATTTTATGGCTTGGTAGTTTTTAATTTTGGTATTGGCTAATTTGATATTAGCTAAATTGGTATTATGATTGAATGTTGGTGCAATTACTTTTGCTAAATGTTTTGTGATTTAGTTCTTGGTATATGTCGAGTTACGCTCATGAATATTATGTTTGAATCATTGCTTGAGATTAATAGCGTATGAGAAGCTGGATATATATGAGTAGTTGAACTAGGATAAATAATCTTTCACTTCTCTTTCATCTTTACTCTTTCACTTTGTGCAATGTTTAAGTTGAATAATTAACTTGTTTCACATATGTTCACATGTGATTAATATTTTTGTGTGTTTAGAGGTTTAATTGAGGTATAATCAGTGCATGTTGTTGTACATATATGATATTCTAAAAGAAAATGAGATCTGGAAATATTTTTAATTTGATTACGTTAAATTATTTTTAATTAATTAAGGAAACTTTATTTGAAAATGACAGTTTTTCATATTTCAAATTCAAATTTGATTCTGTCATTAATATCTTACTGTTACAAATTTGGATTAATTTTCTTTTAATTACTGAATTAATTTCCTTTAATTACCAGATTTATTTTCTTTAATTGCCGGATTAATTACGTGTTTTTTTAGGATTTCTGAGACTCTATAAATAGAGGCCTTCGACACACTATTTTCTCACCCCCAAAACTCATTTCTCTCTTTCCTCTTTATGAGTTCTCAAATTTTCTAATTGCTAGTTCTTCTCCTCAACTTCTTGAGGCGAACCTGTTGTATCTTGGGGGGCTTGCGCATATCCCGCGGATAAGTCCTTAAGGTCAGTGCCATCACACGCCTTAGGGGAATTTTACTAACGTTTGTTCGGTGTTTCAGGTTGCTCATAGTTGCGTCTGCAATTTTATACAACAATCTTAAGGACTTATGTTGTCCATGAAAATCTTTTTGGGATTTTGTAATTTTTGGATTTGGTTGCTTTCATCGGCAAAGGGGGTGCAAACCCTAATTTTTGAAATCAGATAATCAATCCATGAAATCAAAAATGGATAAGGGAACACCGACATTCGGGAATCAAAAGACGAACGACAGCAACAAGAAGGAGAAGGCCGAGGAAGAGAGATCTAAGGTGGATGACCTTAGGGGTTCTCCGATGACTGTTGATCTCAATGAATTTAATGAGTATATTGATCGGTGAGTACAACCACATTAAACAATATGAAATTTGTTACAGAATGTGACTAGGCAAGTGAGGTTTCCTTGGCTTAGCTGCAAAGTCAAAAGGTAATTTTTTTTATAAAATAAATAAATAAAGTATAGATATAATATTGGAGGTTGATTAATATAGCTTTGACAAATATAACTAGTGGTATAGTATGATCTTGAAAAGTACTATCACTTAAGAGAAAAAATGAGGTGTGATGAGAGGATGAGAAGAGTAATTGCGAGATATCGTATGAGAAATGATGTAGGCAATTAATATTTGAGATTCTCTTCATGATGAGAATATTTAATTATTAATA